TTCAGAAATCTTGACACTCTATTAGATAGAAGTGACGCCTACACATCTTCATGTTATAACCCTTCTCTGCCTTGGCCTCTTTGTGCGGTTGTTATGGGACAAGATCCTTTGGAGTTTTTAGTTGCCTATTGTTTAACATAGAAATTCATCAAGACACATCCTTAGGACCTGTAAAAGGACTTTGGTAATTTGCTGACCCTTATTTAAACCAAAATTTCCTAGAAGTGCCTGATATTTTATCTTTTCCCATTTCTTAATTTTAACATTGTTTTCTATCTGGAGAGGCTGGGATGAGAGAAAAAAATTTGTTTTCAAAGGAGCAGGTTCTAGCTCATATATTCAAGGGTTGTTGTTTTAGCTTGTCTCTCTTCTCTTGCATTTAATCTTAGGCAGTGAGAAGAAGCAATGTGGCACTTTTATTATTCTATCTTGAAACCTCTTTAGCTAGAACAAGGGTCAGCAAAATACTTCTGGTGGGCTTGCTGCCCAATTTTTTGTGAATAGAGTATTATTGCAACAAGCCAGCCCCTATTTGCTAGTTTTGCAGATGGCTGCTTTTGTGCAATTATGGCAGAGTTGAGTAGTTGGTATAGCTTACAAGCATGAAATGATCACTTTCTACACCTTTACAGAATGGTGTCACTCACAAGCTCCTTAAGGTCCTTAGTCTTCCACTAACACTACTCGAGGAATTTCTCTTTCCTGCCTGCCACCTGTTCCCATAGGCAATACCACACTTTCTTTAGGTTTTTGTTAAGGCAGCACCACACATCAATGTACTAAATATGTCTGTGGTTGTATAACAAATTCATTCCAAAACCTAGTAGCTTGGAACATAAAATAATCATTTTAGCATTTTCTCTCATAGTTCTGGGGGTAGACTGACTCTGCTAGGTGGTTCTCACTCTGGACTCCATGTGGTTGCAGTCTGATGATGGTTGGGGTCTGAAGTCCTCTGAAGCCTTTCTCACGCAAGCCAGAGCGCCTCACGTGGCTTCTGCGAGTGCCTGGGCTTCCTTGCAGCCCGGTGGCTGGTTCTAAGAGCAGGCAGAAGAGTAAGTTCTATTTCTTCCCTTCCTCCACACTCTGTTGTTTGAGGCAGTTACACAAGGTTATGCAGGTTCAAGGAGAGGAGACATACATGAAGAAGTGATGTCTGAGCTGAAGTCTGAAGGATGAATGGGCTTTAACTTGGTAAAGGGAGCTGGCAGAATCACATTATCTTTTGAAAAGAACACTCTGGATTCATTGAGGAGACTGGATGAGAAGGGGCAAAGATGGACAGCTGTAGGATTGTTAGGATGCTACAGAAATCCTGCAGATGAGGGGTGGTAGTTGCTTGAATTCAGGATGGCCCTGGTGGTTGGGAGAAGGGCCTGGATTTGAGAATTGTGTACGAGTACACGATAGATGAAGCTTAGCTATGGATTGTATGCAGGAGGTAAGGAAAAAGGAGGGACTTTTGTGTAACGGTGGATGGTTGAGAGAGAATATTGGAAGAGAAACAGGTTTATTTTATTTTGTGTTTAATGTATATTTGGGAGAAGTAAGAGTAGATTTTGAATTTTGACATTTTGTTTTTGAGGTGTTGTTGAGACCTTTGATATGAGATGTCAAGTAGACCATTGGTTATATGGTGAAGAACTTGGATAGGTAGCCTGGGCTGGAGATAAACACTTGCAAGTTGTCTGTGTAGCTGATATTGTAAAATGTGGGAATGAAAGAGGTTCCTAGAGAACATTCCAGGATAGAGAGGGTCTAGAATGGCCTTGAGGAACCTCAATATTTAGCGAAGATCAAGCTTGTAAGAAATTAACAGGACTGACTAGAGATGTTAGAGGGGAATAAAGAGTGTGGTGTCACCTCAAAAGAGTGTTTCTAGAAGAAAGTAGTTCTCAGCAGTGTCAAAACTCCTGGAAAAGCACTAGGGAACTGAAAAATACCAACTGCACTAACTACACAGAGGTCATTGGTGATCCTGGTGATTTATTGTTTTTGCTGCAGGAGACATGGATTAAAAGGTGTGTGGGAAGAGATAAAATGGAAACCTTGTGAGATTAAAAAAAAAAA